GGCAGAGCGACACTTTTTTTGTCAAACTTTTACTTATTTTTATGCGAAAACGCATCAATGTATTCACAGTTTCTCAAAGATAATCTCAATATTTAATTATGCGAAAATACATTGACTAAAAGTATTTTTATCAATATTTGATTTGAGGTAACCGGAAAACTCTATATTATATTAGGTGTAGTAAAAAGAAATCTATTATTTTTCTAATAGATGGCTTTAGTAATCTGTATCTCGCGTTGTATAAGTGCGATCGGGTTACCAACGCCAAATGGCGTTAGAAAGATAAGATTTCGTACTAAAAAAACTTCTCAGACAGTTTTGTGATTGCTTGAGTCAGTATTGTTTGAGCGCGTGTCAAAGATGGACACCAACAAAGAGAAAATACGCCATATTTTACAGTTTTTCTTCGATAAAGGCGAAAACGCAAGCCAGGCGGCTGAAAATGTGAATAGTGTTTATGGTCCTGATACTGTAACAGTCAATATCGCGCAATTTTGGTTTCGTCGATTCCGTTCCGGTAATTTTGATGTCAAAGATGCACCACGCTCTGGAAGGCCAATTGTCGAAAATGTCGATAAAATAATGGAAATCGTCGAGTCCGACCGTCATGTAAGCACTGTTTCGATTGCCCAGGAGCTAAACATTGCACAAAAAACCGTTTGGAACCATTTAAATAAGGCTGGATACAAAAAGAAGCTCGATGTATGGGTGCCACACGAGTTAACGCAAAAAAACCTCATGGACCGAATTTCCATCTGCGAATCGCTGCTGAATCGCAACAAAATCGACCCATTTCTGAAGCGAATGGTTACTGGTGATGAAAAGTGGGTCACTTACGACAACGTCAAGCGAAAACGGTCGTGGTCGAATCGCGATGAGCCGGCGCAAACGGTGGCCAAGCCAGGATTGACGATCAGGAAGGTTTTGCTGTGTGTTTGGTGGGATTGGCAGGGAATCATCTACTATGAGCTGCTCCCCTACGGCCAAACTCTTAATTCGGATATGTACTGTCAACAATCGTCTGAAAGAAACAATCACCCAGAAGCGGCCGGCTTTGGCCAATAGGAGAGGAATTGTGTTCCATCAAGACAACGCCAGGCCACACACATCGATAGTGACTCGCCAGAAGCTCCGGGAGCTTGGTTGGGAGTTTCTTATGCATCCATCTTATAGTCCGGACCTGGCACCAAGTGATTACCACCTGTTCCTGTCTATGGCGAATGATTTTGCTGATGAAAAATTCGCCTCAAGAGAAGCTTGTGAAAATCGACTGTCCCAGTTTTTTGCCAATAGGGACGAGGGTTTCTATGAGAGAGGCATAATGAAATTACCTTCAAAATGGCAACAAGTTATCAAACAAAACGGTGCATATTTGATCTAAATCGGATCATTCTAACTATGCTAAATAAAGCCTTCAATTTAATGCAAAAATAATAGATTTCTTTTTACTACACCTTATATATTATATATAATATACGAGGGCAAATCAATAAGTTTTTAGAAAAACATAGTAAAACACATTTTTTTTGACCGATTCATTTTTATTTCTCAACACAATCTCTTTTCAGCTCGATACACTTGATCCAATGATTCTCTAATTTTTTTAAGCCGTCCGAATAATATGATATGTCCAACCCTTCAAAATAAGCCTCTGTTTCGGCGATGAGCTGCTCTCTGGTGATAAATTTTTTTCTTTCGAACCATTTCTTTAGATTTGGAAACAGGAAATAGTCGCAGGAGCCTAAATCTGGCGAATGCTGGATGGAGAAGCAATTCGTAGCGGAATTCGTTGAATTTCGCTATTGGTGCCGGGCACGTGTGAACCCGTGCATTGTTTTGATGAAAGAGCACTTTCTTTTTCGCCAAATGGGGACGTTTTTTCTTTAAAATGTTGTTGAAACGGTCCAATAAGATTGCGTAGTAATCGCCATTGATCGTTTGCTTCGACGGAAGGTAATCGGTATGAATTATACCGCGTGCATCCCAAAAAACTGTGGCCATTACCTTTCCGGCTGACTTCACGGTTTTCGCCTTCTTCGGAGCTGGTTCACCCGAAGTCCATTGTTTTGACTGTTCCTTCGTCTCGGGTGTGGAGTAATGGATCCATGTTTCGTCCACAGTAATGAATCGACGCAGAAATTGATCTGGATTACGTTGAAATATCTCCAAACATTATTTTGAAATCATCACACGGTCGCGCTTATGGTCCACAGTGAGCAAACGCGGCACCCATCTTGTCGATAGCTTTTTCATACCCTATTGTTCGTGCAAAATTGAAATCACTGTGCCATGTATTGTAATATGCTTGTGGCCTCAACAAGCTCGCGCACTTTCACTCGTCGATCAGTCAAAACAAAATCTTGGACTTTATCGATGATTTCTGGCGTAGCAGCCTCAATTGGATGTCCCGAACGAGGTGCATCGCATGTGAATGTACGACTACGTTTAAATTCATTCACCTAATTGTATACAATCGCAAACGCTGGCGCAGATGTGCTATGAACATTATCCAACTCGACTTTGATTTCTTTCGGCGTTAAATCTTTCATATGTAAATGTTTGATTACTGCACGAAACTCGTTTTTTTCCATTTTTGAAAAAATACAAAGGTTGCTTTAATCATCTACAGAAATAAAACCACGCGATGAATTCCGCTCAAAATTTGACAGTAATTAGCTGAAATATGCTACTTGTCAAATAGTAATATGACATGACACTGCAAGTGTCCTCTGATAGATTTTCTAAGAATTTATTGACTTGCCCTCATATATATAGACATTTTATATATGATACATATATAAATTTCAACAGAAATTAAATGTTGAAATTATTGTGGCAATAAACATAAACTTATTTTAATTGTATTTGTGTAACAAATACAATTTCTTCTCACGATATAAATATATGTAATTATATAATAATGTAGTTAAAGATATATTAAAAAAGAGAAACAAATAAAAGAGAAAGAGATTGAAAGAAAAAAAGAAAGAGAAAAGAAGGTAAAAGAAGAAAGGAAAAGTACTTGGAGCAATGGAAAAAAGGGAAGAAAGAATTAGAGACAATGGAGAAAAAAAGAAAAAGACAAAGGAAAAGTTTATATATAGACTGTCACGTAATTATATTATTATTACAGTTATTATACATTTGTGTGTGTGTGCGTGCGTGCGTTCTCGTCAGGCGGCGGTGATGAGGTGCGAAAGCACGGCGTGAACGCATTAAAAATGTTATCTTTAAAGTAAGGACCCCAAAAAACAAAAAAAGAGAGGTAAAGAAGAGGAGGGATCACGCAATGTAAAGTGATGAAATTGAACTTACTGCTGAGATGGCGATATGCGGAATGGCCCAACTTCAGAGAAGGTGGCGTCGGATGTAACGTGTTATGGCTCGGCTTCGACGGACTTCCTCGATCGGGAAACCCCATAGGTTTTTTAATTGAACGCACTTGAATCCCGATGATTCAATTGAACTCATTGACTCTATCGGGAACTTTTTAAGTATCGCCATTCCTCTAACTTATCGGAAAATCGCGCAACAAGTGTAGCCTGAGAACTTAATAACAAATCTGCCTCTCTAGACTTGGAGGAGAATCTACCCCTCGAGGGCAGCAGAACCGCGATTTTTATACTAATCGCCCCGAATTATCCAAATTTGGATTGGTGGAATAGGTTTCGTTAGCTGGTAGTAGGATTTTCCTCTGCTCTTGGATTGGTCAAAATTTTAGACGCACGCACGCACTCACACATTCGTAAAAGCATATACGAGGTCTGGCTATTAAATAACGAGACTGCTTATGAAAAAGAGTTTTATTTTAAAAATTATTCTACAATTGAATGCTCCCCTTCAATGTACTCCCCTCCCCTCGCCACACACCGTTCCATTCGTTTTTTCCATTGGTCAAAGCAATGCTGAAAGTCTTCTTTTGTAAGAGCATTTAG